GCCAGGAACTCAGTCTGGGTCTCCCACATGAGTGTCAAGCACCCAACAATTTGAGCCATTGCCTCTGCTTCCCAGGGTATACACTGGCAGGAAGTTGGAACCAGGCACGCCAACGTGGGATGCAGGTGTCCGGTGCAGCGTCTTATCATTGCACCAAACATCTGCCTCTAATTGTTGGTCTTGTTGAGTCCAGCCTTGCCGCCGCAAACCTCATAAAGTGACGCTGCCACACCACGGTGGTGCAACTGCCAATTTACTAACCACCAATTTGTTGTATATGAGAGGCAGGGAGACAGGAAGCGAGAAACACAGACGGATAAACAGAGAACTCCCATCTGCTGGTTTACTCCCCAAATGCCTGCAATAGCACAGGCTGAGCTGGACACTCAACTTTCCAAGTCTCCCGCGTGGGTGGCAGGAGCCCAAGCACTAGCTCTGTCTCCGCAGGTGCTGGGTGTGGAACCCAGGCAGCCCAATGTAGGACACGGGTGTCCTGGCCGGTAAGCTCTGTGCTTGTCAGAACAGTAACTGTTTCAAGTTTGGCTTGGTCATCTTCATTGCAGGGTAGGTAATTTAAGGGTGTGGTTTTAATACTTACACATTAATGAAAACCAGTACTGTCCAGATAATTTGCAACTCAAGCTAAAAACTGTAGCTCTAAGTTATAAAGAATTTCCTTAAGAATATTTATAGTACTGTTGAGTTTCTTTTTATATGTTTTAAAAAATATTTATTTATTTGAAAGGCAAAGGGGAGAGAGAGAGAGCGAGAGAGAGCGCTTCTATCTGTTGGTTTACTCCCCAAATGACGGCAACAGCCAGGGTTGGGCCAACCCAAAGCCAGGAGCCAGGAACTCCACTTGTCTCCTGTGTGGGTGGCGGGGTCCCAAGTATTCGGGCATTTTCTGCTTCCTTCCCAGGTGTATTAGCAGGGAGCTGGATCAGAAGCGGAGCAGCCGGGACTTGAACTGACACTCTGATGTGGGATGCCAGCATCCCAGGCAGTGGCTTAACCCGCTGTGCCACGACGTGGGCCCTACTGTGGAGCTCAAAACGGGTGGGGCTGTCAGATGCTGCCAGAGCCATGCTCAGGGCTCAGCCGAGCTGTCACGACTGGAAACGCAGACACGAGGCATGAGGCTGCGGGCGGCACCGCAGGCATGCGCAGCTGCGCAGGGCGGATGGAGAGGGACACGTGGCTGGACATGTGGAAGCAGAGTGCAGTTCTGGGCCAGACCCCTGGTAAAGAGGTAGCTAAGACTCCGAAGTGAAGACTCCGGGACTCTCTTACTTAATAGGACAGGTCCTGGGATGGATAGACGGCCCCGCGGAGGAGCAGCGTCTGCGTTGTGACAGCTGCTTGATCAATGACACCTGCTCCCAACACCGCAGCGGCTTCCATCTTACTCCATGGAACCCAGAGGGAAGTGTCCTGGTCCACATTGCCTCTCTAACTCCTCTCCTTCCTTCTCCTCTCTCATCAGGCTGTGCCCCACCCAGTTCCTCAGAGTTCCTGGGACACACAGCACACCCTAATCTCTCTCCCCGGAAACCTGCAGGGCTCACCTATTCCCGTCGCCAGGTTGCCCCATTTACGTTTGCAGTGTGGGAGCAGGCACTTGGCCTGCTGGTTAAGATGCCACTTGGGATGTCCACATCCCATGTCGGAGTGCTTGGCTGGTTCTGGCTCCTGACTCCCGCTTCCTGCTAGTGTGGGCCCCAGGAGGCAGCAGTGATGGGGCCCAGCCACCCACATGGGAGTCACGGGTTTTCTGGTTCCTGGCTCGTGCCTGGCCCAGCCTCATCCATTATGGTCATTTGGGAATGAAGCAGTGGATGAAAGTGTCACCTTGGGGTGGTGCTGTGGCACAGTCGGGAACGCTGTAGCCCGGACTCCAGGAACTCATGTTGGAGTGCTGGGATTAAGTCCTTCCTTCTGGCTAATGTATGCCCTGGGAGGCAGCAAATGATGGCTAAAGTAGGTGGCCCCTGCCACCCGCATGGGGGACCCACCTGGAGCTCCTGGCTCCCAGCTTTGGCCTGGCCCAGCCTCAGCTGTTGCAAGCATTTGGAGAGCGAACCAGTGGGTGGAAGATCTCTCTTCATCTCTGTTGCTCTGCCTTGCAAATAAAAGAAAATAAATAAACTTTAACAATATCCTCATCTGCGTAGCATCCTATGTTTCTGTATATAATTAGTTTCTTAAAGCTCAGTAAAGATTTCTAAGTACACAGCAGGATACACGTGAGTGCGGGGAGTGAGTTTTTTTTTGCTATTGTTGGGACTTGTTCCAATTCTCCACTGCTGTGATTCAGGCTGGTTTGGGGCCCTGTCCCTTGGGCTCCATGTCCCCTTGTCAGCCTCTTGGGGGAATTCCCAGAACCACTTCTGTCATGGCCAGCTTCAAGTCCATTAGCGAGGCACAGCCGGACTAATGAAGCTTTTCTGAAAGCTGTCCAGGTGTTCTCACGACCCTGGATGGAGGTTTGCCAGGACAGCTTTCTCTACAGATCCAATTTCTGCAGCAAATGGCATTGAAGTTGTAAAAAAATCACTAGCCAGCACATGCATTGATTTTGAGAATAGCTGTCAGGTTTTTAGCTTTTTTTTTTTTTTAAGATATGCTTATTTATTTGAAAGGCAGAGTTACAGAGAGACAGAGACAGAGAGAGAGAGAGAGAGAATCTTCCAACTGCTGATTCACTCCCCAAATGGCCACAATGGCCAGAGCTGCACTGATCTGAAGCCAGGAGCCAAGAGCTTCTCTGGTCTCCCACGCAGGTGCAGGGGCCCAAGTACCTGGGCCATCTTCTAATGCTCTCCCAGGCCATAGCAGAGAGCTGGATTGGTGGTGGAGCAGCTGAGACTTGACCTGGCACCTATATGGGATGCCAGCACTACAGGTGGCAGCTTTACCCTTCTATGCCACAGCGTTGGCCCCCAGATTTTTAACTTTTGCGTCTCAAGCAAATTCCAATTTTTATTTATTTATTTTTATTTTTCGCCAGGCAGAGTTAGACAGTGAGAGAGACAGAGAGTTATAGACAGTGAGAAAGAGACAGAGAGAATGGTCTTCCTTCCGTTGGTTCATCCCCCAATGGCTGCCACAGCCGGCGCCATGCCGATCCGAAGCCAGGAGCCAGGTACTTCTTCCTGGTCTCCCATGCGGGTGCAGGGACCAAAGGACGTGGGCCATCCTCCACTGTCCTCCTGGGCAGAGAGCTGGACTGGAAGAGGAGCAACCAGGACTAGCACCCAGCACCCCAACCGGGACTAGAACCCAGGGTGCCGGCGCTGCAGGCAGAGGATTAGCCAAGTGAGCCACGGCGCCGGCCCAAATTCCAATTTTGTGAAAAATTATTTTTATGGTATTGACTTTGCCATTCCTGATACAGTCAAGTTGCTAATGCCACAGAAAGTGATCGAGCAATTTTTTTTTTTACCATCCACATGTGTAGTAGCCTCAGGAACTACTTCATTAAATTGGAGGTTGGAGGGGCCCAGGAGAGACAGAGAGAGAGAGAGAGAGAGAGAGAGAGAGAGAGCGAGAGCTCTTCCATCCACTGGTTCACTCCCCAGATGGCTCCAACAGCCAGTCCGGGCCAGGCTGAAGCCAGAGGCCAGGAGCTCCATCCTGAGCTCCCGCATGGGTGGCAGGGGCTCACGGACTTGGGCCATCTTCTGCTGCCTTCCCAGGTGCATTCGCAGGGAGCTGGGTCAGAAGTGAAGCAGCTGGGACTTGAACTGGTGCTCTGATGTGGGTGCCAGTGTTGCACATGGTGACTTAACCTGAGGGTCCACAGCCCCAACCCCACCCTCCTAACTCCACCGTTCTCAGTTCTGTAAGTCACCTTCCTGTCTCCACCAGGACAGCGGCCTTTACATTAATATAAAGCATGTTCCAGGTTTCCTGTCGGGATCATCACGTACTTATTGAACAGATGGATAGATAGATAGATAGATGGATAGATAGATAGATAGATAGATAATATGGTAGCTATCTGGCTTCAGCAGCTTGTTGATCTGTCAAGTTAGTCCCGGGTACACGAAGCTGTGTGCGTCTGTGGACTTGTTCCTAGGGCAAATTCACAGATGGGATCGCTGTTGGCCGGGGCACCTGCCTCCCTGCCTCTTGCTACCTGGCTGCTCTGCTCACTTCTCAAAGGCCGTGGCAGTTTGCTGTGCCACCCGAGTTACAGCCCCACCTGATCAATGATTCTGAAGTCTAGTTTAGAAGATGTGTGAGTTAACTTTCTTTAAAAAGATTGTATTTATTTGAAAGGCAGAGTTAGAGAGAGAGAGAGAGAGAGAGAGTCTTACATCCACTGGTTCACTCCCCAAATGGCCAAAACAGCCAGGGCTGGGCCAGGCCAAAGCCAGGAGCCTCTTCCGGATCTCCCACGTGGGTGCAGAGGCCCAAGCACTTGGGCCACCCTCTGCTGTTTCCAGGTGGATTTAGCAGGGAGCTGGATCGGAAGTGGAGCAGCTGCGACTTGAACCAGTGCCAACACGGGATGCTGGCACTGCAGGCAAGGGCTTTAACTCTCTGGGCCACAGCACCGGCCCTGCGAGGTAGCTTTCTGTTACTGAAATGAAGTGGCTGAGGCAGGCAGTACTTGGTAAGGAAGAGAGTTTTCTTTGGCTCACAGTTCTCGAGGGGCAAGGGCCAGGGCCTCGTCTGCTGAGCATCTGCTGGCAAAAGACAGGGAGCGCGGGTGCCCGTGTCTGTGTGGTCTGCTCCCCACTCCCACTAATGCCAGCAGGATGCAGTCAGGAGCCCCAGCCTAATGACCTCTGATCGAATCACTGCCCAACGTGCCCCCCCCCCACAGTCAGGCCGACTGTCCACCCTCTTTGCACCATTAACCTGAGACTTTGAGGACTCAACTCCCCCATGAGTTTGGGGGGACAAGTCATAGTGAAACCAAGGTAGCAGGTGTGAGACTGAAACTCAAAGTTGAAGCTTGGTTTTGAAAATGAGAATTTCTTCCTGCCATGTATTTTTTTTTAAAGATTTTATTCATTTATTTGAGAGGTGGAGTTACAGATAGAGAGAGGGAGAGACAGAGAGAAAGGACTTCCATCTGCTGGTTCACTCCCCAAATGGTCACAACGGCTGGAGCTGTGCTGATCCGAATCTAGGAGCCAGGAGCTTCTTCCGGGTCTCCCATGCAGGTTCAAGGGCCCAAGCACTTGGTCCATTTTCTACTGCTTTCCCAGGCCAAAACAGAGAGCTGCAATGGAAGAGGGGCAGCCAGGATTAGAACCGGCGCCCATATGGGTTGCCTATGCCAAAGGTGGAGGCTTAGCACGCTATACCATAGCTCCGGCCCCCTTGCCATGTATATTATAACAGCTTCCTTTTTTTTTATAGATTTATGTATTTGAAAGAGTTATAGAGAAGGGGGGAGAGAGAGAGAGAGAGAGAGAGAGAGAGAGAGAGAGAGGTCTTCCATTCGCTGGTTCACTCCCCAGATGGCCACAGGACTGGGCTGGACTGAAGCCAGAATCCAGGTGCTTCATCCAGGCCTCCCACATGGGCCATCCTCTGCTGCTTCTCCCAGGCCATTAGGCAGGGAGCTGGACTGGAAATGGAGCAAACAGGCGCCCATATGAGATGCTGGCATCACAGGGGTGGCTTTACCTGATACACACAATGCCAGGCCAGCTTCCCTGTTTTGAGGGATGATTTTGTACCCAGCTAGCGTGCAGAATCCATTGAGTGCAGCATCTCATCAAGTTCTCTTTAAATCCTCTGAAAGCCAGGGGAGGGAGGGGAGGGTGCTGTGGCATAGCAGGTTAAGCCACTGCCTGGGCCCCTGCACCCATGTGGGAGACCCAGAAGAAGCTCCTGGCTCCTGGTTTTGGCCTGGCCCAGCCTTGGCCGTTGTGCCATTTGGGGAATGAACCAGTGGATGGAAGAACTCACTTTCTTTTGCACGCTTTCTCTCTCTCTGTCTCTTTGCCTCTCTCTGAAACTCTTTCAGATAAATAAATAAATCTTTTTAAAAAATACATACCCTATGAAAGGGACACAATCACAAGTAAAGAAATCGACACTCACTCTGAAATTCCCCAAGGCCACAAAATGTAGTTTCAAATCCAGGTCTGACATGTGCCTCTTTTGGGGAAAAATTTCCTAATTTATTTGAATGACAGAGTGACAGAGGGAAGGACAGCCAGAGAGCTTTTTTTTTTAAGATTTATGTATTTATTTGAAAGGCAGAGTCACAGAGAGGCAGAGAGAGACAGAGAGAGAGAGGTCTTCCATCCACTGGTTCACTCCCCAGATGGCCATACAGGCTGGAGCTGCACCAATCTGAAGCCAGGAGCCAGGAGCTTCTTCCGGGTCACCCATATGGGTGCAGAGTTCCAAGGACTTGGGCCATCTTCCACTGCTTTCCCAGGTCATAGCAGAAAGCTGGATCAGAAATGGAACAGCCGGGATTATAACCGGTGCCCATATGGGATGCTGGCACTGCAGGAGGAGGCTTTACCTGCTGCCCCACCCCCCCACCCCGCCTTTAAGATTTTATTTACTTGAGAGGTAGAGTTAGAGAGAGAGAGAGAGGTCTTCCATCCGCTGGTTCACTCCCCAGATGGCCGCAAAGGCTGGAGCTGCGCCAATCCGATGCCAGGAGCTTCTTCCAGGTCTCCCATGTGGGTGCAGGAGCCCAAGCACTTGGACCATCTTCTACTGCTTTCCCAGGCCACAGGCAGGGAGCTGGATCAGAAGAGGAGTGGGACATGAACCTGGCTTATACAGGATGCCAGCGCCGCAGGCGGAGGATTAACCTATTGTGCCACAGTGCAGTCCTCAAGGAGAGAGAGAAATCTTACCTCTGCTGGTTCACTCGCCAAATGGTAGAGCCAAGAAGCACACCCCCATCTCCTACATGGGTGTCAGGGACCCAGGCACCATCTGAGGTCTGCATTAGCAGGAAGGTGGAATCTGAAACAGAGCAGCCAGGACTAGAACCAGGCACTCCAGTATGGGATGTGGGCATCCCAAGCAGCAATTTTTAAAAAAAGATTTTTATCTATTTATTTGTTTGAGAGGCAGAGTTACAGAGAGGAAGAGGAAGAGAGGTCCTCCATCCACTGGTTCACTCCCCAGATGGCTGCAATGGCGGAGCTGCGCCCATCTGAAGCCAGGAGCCAGGAGCTTCTTCCGGGTTTCCTACGTGAGTGCAGGGGCCCAAGCACTTGAGCCATCTTCTACTGCTTTTCCAGGAGCATTAGGAGGGAGCTGGATCGGAAGAGGAGCAGCTGGGACATGAACCGGTGCCCATAGGGACGCTGGCGCCTTAGGCAGAGGCTCAGCCTCCTATGCCACAGCACTGGCCCCATCCAAGCAGCGATTTTAACTGTTGCCCTGAACACCTGCCCCCACCCCTTGCCCTCTGCCTCACTGTGTGTATGAAGTCCAGGCGAGACCCAGGAAAACCACATTACAGCACTTACCTTAGAGCCGGGTGTCTTTGACTACAAAGGCACTGAAGGCATTTTTATTCTGGGCAGAGATCTCGCACTCTCCTGACGACATGGACAGAGGGAGGACGCTGCCTTCACGAACACGTGACATGGAAAAAGGAAATAGGGTCGCGGATTTAGGATCGTTGGCTGTCAGAGGGAACGTCAAGCTGTGAGCGTCTTTCTCTGGCGTACGCGGGAACTCTGCTCACGCAGGGCCCAGGAGGACCCTTGTTCTAAGGAGACTTGTTGGTCTCTGTCCCGGGTTCCTGCACACAGCTCCAGAGTGACCATGGCTTCTGGACGCAAACGAGCTGACTGGTTGCTGGGCCCTGGCAAGCTTCAGTACGCGGCTGTGTCGCCGGTTAGAGGAACGCTCAGCTCCACCCCCAGCCTCCGGGAAAGGGAGAGGGGCTGGAGACCCCATCCATCGGCAGTGGCCAGTGATTTAATCAATCACGTAACCTCGTGGGCTCTCTCCATGGAAACCCCCAGAGGATGCGTTTGGAGAGCTTCTGGGTCAGCGAACACCGTGACGTGCTGGAAGCAGGACGCACCTGGAGGGGCATGGACCCTTCACACCTGCCTCACACCCCCACACCCGGCCCTCTGTGTCTCTCCCACCTGGCTGTTCTGAGTTGTGTCCTTTATAACAAACAGATAAGGATAAGCAAAGCAGCAGTCTGAGCTCTGTGGGTCATTTTAGCAAATGATGAAACCCAAGGAAGAGGCTATAGGAACCCGCTGTGCATAACTGGCCGGTCAGACGTGCAGGTGGCCGGGGCTTTAGACGGACATCCGAAGTGGGGGTCAGTCTGAGACCAAGCCCTTAACCTGTGGGTCTGCGCTAACTCCGGGGGTCAGTGTCAGAACTAACACTGAGCTGGTGTCCGAGCTGCAGCGGTGGGATTGGAGGAGCTGGCACTGTGGCCCAGGGGTTAGGCCACTGCTTGTGACGCTGCCGTTCCGTACCACAGTGCTGGTTCAAGTCCCAAGTAGTCTACTTCCAGGTGCGCTTCCTGCTAATACACCTGGGAAGGCAACAGAAAACGGCCCAAGCACGTGGGTCCCCGCCATCCACAATGGGAGAACAGGATGGAGTTCCTGGCTCCTAGCTTTGGTCTGGCCCCAACCTGGCTGTTGTGGCCATTTGGGGAGTGGACAATAGAAGGAGGATCATTCATCTCTCTCTCTCTCTCTCTCTCTCTCTCTCTCTCTCTCTCCTCTCTCTTATCTTTTTCCTCCTCGCTCTCTGTGACTCTGCCTTTCAAATAAATAATTATTGCAAAAAAAAAAAAAAAAAAAGAAGTGAAATTGGAAAAGGCTCCACGCCTTTGATCAGGAGGAGAAAACCCCACGTGTCCGGCGTCAGCCGTGTTGAGTGCAGACAGACCACAGGCCTCACCTCCGTTCTCCCTTCCTGCTCACCCCCAGGAAATGCTCTGTGAGGGCCAGTGTGCCACCTGGTCCACACCCGCAGCAGAGCCCCCTGGTGGCTACACTGCAGAATGAGCGGGTCTTTCCTGATGCAGCGAGGACAACAATCCCGAGAGCCACGTGGAGCTCCCCCCTGCATAACGGCAAGCAGGCCCCCCTCTCTGCCCTGCCTCGACCAGCCCCGCCCTGCCGGGACTACTGGACACGCCACTGGGACCTCAGAAGCAACCAAGCCTCCCCCTGTCTCAGCAGCCCAGCTTGAGCTCAGCCCCCCAAGCCCCTTCCCGCCACTCTGTACCATGTAAGCCACTAGTCCGTAAGGGAGGGGCTCTCTCTGGTCTGCGGTCGCTGGCCACGCTCTGAACAAACCTGTTCTGTCTCTCCCCTCCTGGCACTCCCTGTTCCGGTTTGGTGATGGGGCCTTATGGGAGATGCCCCGCCAGTCGGTCCCAGAAACCACGGGGGTTGTGGATACGGCTCGGCTTTGATAAAGCTGGAGGTTTCTTTTCTGAATCTAGCATGGCCGTTGTTTTTGAGAAATACCTGGAAGACTTCTAGGTACGAGAGGAACGCACCAATGAACAAAATGGGATTCCTGCCTCCGACATTAGTGAGGCCAGTGGGTGAGCCAGCAGTCCGGGCGGCCGTGAGAAGTCAGTATGCGGCAGGGCTCAGCTGGGGCACCAGCGGGGGCTGGGGAGTGAGGGAGATCCTTAGGCTGAGACCCGCAGCTTGAGTGAATCGGTGCAATTGGAAAGCAGTTTAGGCGAAAGGGGGGATGGGCTGCAGGGATATTTGAAGAGAAAATGACAGCCTGAACAGGAGCACTGAGCACATAGGAGGGTGAAGGTTTGCAGGAAAATGGAATTAAAAGAGACTTGAGGGGTGGCCATCCTGACTCAGCAGGGTAAGCCACCACTTGTGCACCAGCATCCGTGTCAGAGCGCTGGTTCAAGTCCCGGCTGCTCAGCTTCCAATCTAGCTTCCAGCTAAAGCACCTGGGAGACAGCAGAAGATGGCTCCGAGTGCTTGGGCCCCTGACAGCCACGTGGGAGACCTGGATGGAATTCCAGGTTCCTGGTTTCAGCCTGGCCCTGTCACCACACACAGGTGAGCGGAGTCAAACCTGATGGACGTCTCTGAATCAGTGTGAGTGGTGTCATTGACCTTGATGCGGGGGGCTGGGAGCCAGTGGGACCAGTATTGTGGGTCACAGGTGAGGGACTCCTCTGTGCCCACAGAGATCCTTCGCACTTTGTACAACTGGTACTTGGCTCCCTCAAGTGTAACACGATGACAGCAAAGTGACCCTTGGTGTCACAGGTCAGACCAGAGATTCTCTCGTCTTGTCGCAGCTGATGACATCCATAAAACCAGCAGGGGGCAGCACTGAGACACAGCAGGTTAAACCATTGCCTGAAGCACCAGCATCCCACATGGATGCCGGTTCAAGTCCTGGCTGCTCCACTTCCCATCCAGCTCCCTGCTAATGCACTTGGAAAAGCAGCAGAGGATGGCCCAAGTGCTTGGGCCCCTGCACCCACATGGGAGACTCAGAAGAAGCTCCTGGCTCCTGGCTTTGTATAGATGTAGCTTTGGCCATTGTGGCCATTTGGGGAGTGAACCAGTGGACTGAAGATCTTTTTCCGTCTCCGCCTCTGCCTCTCTGTAACTCTGCCTTTCAAATAAATAAAAATAAATTTTTTTTTCAAGTGGTACAGCTGGGACTCGAACCAGCTTTCCAGTATGGGATGTCGGCCTCGCAGGAGGCGGCCTAACCCGCTGCCCCGCAACGCCGCACCCCATGCTCTACTTCAAATCTAGGGCAGGCCTCCTTGCTCCCTGGGTGAAGTGACCACTCGTTGACCCTCCGGAATAATAACCGGCTGCCGGCTAACCTCTCATTTCCCTCTATCTCCCTGTGTCTCCTACAAGCCAACAGGTTTGCAGACTCAGAGTGTGTCTTTCCCTCTCCGGCAAGAACTTACAGAGGCCCTGACATCCCCACCAGGCATCAGCTCAGGCCCACACACTGGCCAGCGGTCCTTGTCTGAGCGAGCCTGAGACTGACTGCTGGGTTCAGCCTGCCTCACCTCATCTTCTGTGTTTATTATTTTTTTTTAATTTATTTGTTTCATTTGAGAGGCAGAGTTACAGCCATTACAGTGAGAGGGAGAGTCAGCGAGAGAGAGGTCTTCCATCTGCTGGTTCACTCCTCAAATGGCCACAATGGCTGGAGCTGAGCCAATCCGAAGTCAGGAGCCAGGAGCTTCTGCAGGGTCTCCCATGTGGGTGCAAGGGCCCAAGCACCTTGGGCCATCCTCTGCTGCTTTTCCAGGTGCATTAGTAGGGAGCTGGATGGGAAGTGGAGCAGCCAGGACTAGAACCCGGCGCCCATATGGGATGCCGGCGCTACAGGCGGAGGATTAACCAAGTGAGCCACAGCGCCAGCCCCTATTTTTATTTTATTTTATTTTTTTATTTTATTTATTTATTTTTTTGACAGGCAGAGTGGACAGTGAGAGAGAGAGACAGAGAGAAAGGTCTTCCTTTGCCGTTGGTTCACCCTCCAATGGCCGCCGCGGCCGGCGCACTGCGGCCGGCGCACCGCGCTGATC